AGCCTCTCTGCTCCTATGATGCTGCTTGGCCTGCTGTGTTCATCCAGCCCTGCACCTTGTTGTCTTGGCATGAACAAAATTTTTTCCCCCTCTATCACTGACAATCCATTAAAGCTTGGTGCATACATGATCACTTTTCCAAGAAACTTGCTGCCTAGATCATGCTTTCTAACAATGGTTTTTTAATCTAAAACAGAAAGCACATCATTTGTCATTTGTAACAGTTGTAAAAGCTTTTAAAGAATCTCAAAAGACACCACAGCTGTTTCAGGCTAGGACACTGATGCACAGATAAAACAGATATAAACAAAACTCAAGCAACGAAACTACAGGTAAATATGATGTAATTAGACATCTATCCTCTGCTAGCAGATAAGTGAAGGAATGGTGCATGTGATGATTTGTGACATTCCAATGTCAGGGCAAATTTGTAAGTAGTAGCGTTTGAGGAATGTATTTACTCTATATGTTGGTGCTTCCAAGTTTTATGATCACATACATGTTAAACAACTTGCTAAATTGTTGATGTTTGCCATCGTTTTAAAGATTTTGGTTACAAATCCTTTAAATCCGTTTTTCTTCAACATATATTTAATTTGGTTAGGCTCTCCTCATAACTTTGAGAAGTCCCTGCATCATCCTTGGAATACTTCACTGAGATGGGCAATAAATGCTGAACAGCCAACGATGGCCACATCTCACAAGTGAATAAAATAATAGCTCCATCCAATATCAAGTTTAATGTCAATGTTTTATATTGAGGCCAGTACACAAAAATGCACTTCATATTCTGCATGTTGCCTTCTCCATGAGTTACAATAACATACTTTGATCAAAATATTTCATCATTTGACTAGTCTTGTTGACAAACATCTCACTGACATTAAAGCTTCAAGCAATTGGCAAGAATTATGGATTTTCTTTTTTTCTTGGTTTTAAACTGTTTCTGAGTCTATAAGTGTACATACCCCTTCTCAAGACATATTTCAGATATTATTCTTTGTATATTGTATAACCAGTGAAGCCGTTCCTCATCTCAGCACTTCCAACTTCATATCGAAGTATTTCCATAAATGTTTCTTGAGAATTTTGCAGTCGGAGTGGAAACAGCCTCATCCTCCTCCAGTACTCACCTAACAGATATGGTTCTGTCCCCTTTTCTGCGGTCCATCTCTCTCTGAGGGACAGGATACCAGCGGAAGTTCAATTTCCAGTTAAAGCCACCGTATGTCATATCCGACCCGGCCATGTATTCAAACGTATCATCGCTAATTACATCTATAATTGGGCAAACCACAGCATTTCTGCGTAAGGAAAGAAATTATCATTAAAGGCAAAGATTTTGAAAAGCCACACTTTATTTAGCCGTTTTGACAACCTGGTCCAACTTTCAATATTTCATCCATTGCTTAGTAGATTGCATCCTTATATTAATCAGAGTCCTGAAGACTGTGGCTTAACATTCACTCCAGACCAGAGCCTATAAACTAGGCCTACACTCCAGTGTAGTACTGACGGAGTGTCACACCAATACCTGTGCTATATTTCTAATGAGATGTTAGTTAGGGTCCCATTTATCTCTCCAACGGACACAAAAGATCCCTTGCATGATATCAAAGAGCAAGTCAGTTTGCCCTGGTGTTTTGGCCAATATTTATGCTTGAAAAAACTCAAGTGATAAAGTTATTATTATGTGCTACTTATGTGCCTTGCTGTGCACAAATCATCATCTGTATTTCCTAATTACAAAGGTAAGCAGATTTCAAAGGGCTTCATTGACTGTATGAATGATTAGGGACATCCTGAGGCTTTTACACACATGCCCGTTCTTTCTTTCAGATACGTAACAGCAATATGATAACAAACTATTTCTAAAAGTTATCACTGATAAATATACAGTACTTAGATCATTAATATACAACAGCAAAACTTGACAAATGTGGATTCCACACTTAATAACTTGATACATTTAGAATTTTTCTAAATAAAAGAACAATACCACTAAGATTAAATATTAATTAATTGCTTGGTAGTGCAGAACTTAAATTTTGTTAAAAGGAAAGGAAAGTTGAAGCTTTTTGTTATGCATTCACTAGAACACAAAATAAAATTTAAAAGGGCACTAATTTATAGGGTGCAATTTGTTTGGTCCATCACTGGCAATGAGATGCAGCAAGGCCAGTTATCTGTCAACCTTAGTTCTCAGACCAGGCACGTGGACTGTGATTGGTTAGGATGTTGCCCTGGGAATGCAGGTGAGCTTGGCTGTTTCCATGACACCTTTTATGGTCATTAAGGTTCAATGTGCAAATTCCCCTTGCCTACACAAAACAGGGTCTGATTATTAATACATACAGTTCTTGCACATGCAGTGAAACTATTAGCACACTGAAGATCGTGATTTTTAACAAAATCACATCTAAATGTGAATCCATAGAATCCCTACTGTGTGAAAACAGGCCATTTGGCCCAACAAGTCCATACCAACTCTCTGAAAAGCATCCTATCCAGACACGCCCCCTATCCTCCACTGTAGGGCATACTTTTCTAAGGATTTCAAATACAGGCTGGTTCAGTGTGATCATCGTGCTGTTCACTGAATTGTCAACAAGGTGTGTTGTTTGATACAGTCTACCAGTTGTTGGAATGTCCTGTCATGAGTTAACTGGGAAAATATACTGATAATCATGCCCTACTTTTCCCAAGTCACCACAAAAGTATATTAAAACCCAATGAGACCACCATGATGATCATTGATTCTCATGAAACTCAATTGGTCCCTTCAGGTTCTCACACAACTTCCAATATCTTCAACTAACTTGTCCCACTTTATTACAATGGAAAGACTTAGGTAACTTAGGGTTGATGGAAACACTTAGGGTTTATGAAAAAAAACTGTGGCTTTCTGGATTAGTTCATAATATTTAAGAAGTATTAAGATGTCCACTTGTGATGCTAAGGCATACGAGGCAATGAGCCCAGTGCTGCAAAATGGGATTATAAAATTTAGAGATAACAAGGTGTAGAGCTGGATGAACACAGCAGGCCAAGCAGCATCAGAGGAGCAGGAAGGCTGACATTTCGGACCCAGACCCTTTTTCAGAAATGGAGTTAGAAGCTTGTTTTTGACCAGCATAGACTTGATAGGCCAAAGGGCCTTTTTCAGTGCTTTGACCTCAATGACTCAATTATTAGTCATTACTGCTGCCAGTCTGGCAGTTGCAGCCCTCTGGGCTTCCACATGGGTTCTTGTATATCAAAAGGCAGTAAGATTTTACATTCTTTCAAGAGAATACTTTCTCTTAAGAGATTCAAACATAGTATTTACTCCTAATGCCTGCATCTAAAATTAGTTTGCTTTATCCTTTCAAATGCAATTTGTTTGCACAGGCTGTTTCCTAAATTTCAAAACTTTGTTATGCTCAGGAATAAACTCATATGTTTCAGAATGGCTTTTTTTTTTTTTTAAAAGAGTCATAATCATTAGAAACTTCATTTGACAGTGATGCATTAATTCCATGTGCTGAATCTTTCAACTTGATTTGCATCAGCAATGTCCAGTTTTCCTCTGACTGATCTGACTCACTATTTTCTTAAATGACATAAAAAATGTCTCCCTTTCCTCAGTAGCACTTTCATTGGTATTTGAAGTCCCTTTCTCATTGCATAATTTGAAGCTGGCATCCTCCATCTCTCTTTACTTTCCTTCTTTTCTAACACTTGAAATTATTGTTATTTCACTTTCTCTGCTCTGAAATTCATATTCAATTTTTCTCATCTCGATCTTCCATCTCAAGCTGCCTTGATTCTTTTTCGTGCTCAAGCCGCATGAGCTGTAATTGAATCCTTGCTAACTCAAGTGACTTGCCACTCTGTAAACCTAATCCTTCCTGTATTTCCACCATTCCCAGATGCTGGGCCAATATTTCAATTAATTCTGCCTTCTTAGCTCTGGCAGGCAATTCCATTTCTAATTTATTTGTGAATTCCAGCAGGCTAGCTTTTGTTACAACCGGTAAATCCATCAGGAATACCTGTTCCAACTGCAGGATGATTTTAGCTGTTTGTTTTTAATGCCATCTTATATTAGTATGAGAAATCAGGCAGCTGTCCTTTTATCCATTACCATTTACACTAACTCTACAGTCAACCTTACTTTATCATCACTAAAAAGACTTAGCAGCAAATCAAAAACTTTTGTCATGACTCAACTGGGAAAAAGTGCACCAATAGTTGCGCCCTACTGTTCTGCAAGCTGTTAGAAAATATATAAATGTACAAAATCCCAATGAGACCAACAAATGGCCAACATGCCTGACTGAGGGTTTCTCAGGATGGAGGTTTTGTCAGTAATTATTTATTGTAACACACTTATTTTAACAAGATTATAAAATAAATCTCTAATCTACTATTATGCATTTAGACTTTCTCCCTTCAACCACCAAAATAAACAAACACTCAATCACATTTAAGACTGTCAAAAGATAAATGGCTTAACAAAAATACTGCGTGTGGAAAAAGAATATGGACAGGGTAACCAGAATTCTTAAACTCAAATATCCAGACCACAAGGTGGAAAGTTATCTTCTCACAGTCCTTTAGATTTTATCTATGATGACATATACTTATCTGTATTGCTTTGTACTGATTCTGCACAACATGAAATGGTCAAATGGTTGTGTGAACATTTGCAAATAGCTCTAAATAATTTTTCTGCATACACTGTTTTGACATTACTAGATTATGTTCTCATGTACCAATCAAAGAAGCTATTGACATTTGCACTATGTTAATCTACATATACCACCGGCATCTTAAATTGTGTTCATCAAGTTCAGTTTCAATTACATCATATATGACTACATAGACTGAGATCCCTTCTATGCCCAACTCTTGCTAATATCTTTATTGGTCACCATGAGAAGCACCATGACTCACCATGAGTCATCAACGGGATAGTTCCTAACCTTCTACCCCTTGCACATTTCCAATCTGTTGGGGACACAATTGCAATATTTAAATTTGCAGCTCCAAAGAATTTTTTTAAACAGTTAATAAACTTCATCCTGCTCTCAGAAGTATCGCAGAAGTACTGCATTCAAACAAGCTTCCTTTCCTCAAAGTCTTAGTTCAGAAATCTGCCAATTGGCTCTTCCTTAATATCCACTGAAAGCCTACGTTCAATGATCAATATCCATGTTCTCATTCCTATGTGCTATGAGATCAATCTTATTGACAACCTAATGATTGGAGCCCTAGCTATCTGCTTACCATGTAAGCTTGACATCAATAGGACTTGATAGGGGTCATTAAAATTATCCTGTGAGATATTGGCTCCTCTGATTAAATTATCATTGACTGTACATCTCAAAAACTCATTAAAAGGACAATGTCCATCACTTTTGGCCCTGAGTGGTACCTGGTCTTCTTCAGATGACCCTTGAAGGGGAAGATGCCTCAAAAATTTGGCAACAGAAGCCGGCTGTTTCACAAGATTACCCTGCAGTAAATCCATGCGTAGGTTTCTCCACTAACAGAATGCTACCATCAAGCCCAAAAGACTGCCTGCCTACCAAACAAATAATTATTGAGATATACAAGTTGAGGCCATGGTGAAACAGAAGCATTGAACAGAGGAGGAACAGATGTGCCAACAAGCCGAAGGGCAGCAAGAATCATCAGTGGCTACCAAACAGCCTCCACAAGACGACATCACAATTCAGGATACACGGGAGATACAGGAGGCCCAGACTGTATCATCCTCAATACTATTTCCTCCAGATGGGTGAGGTGCAGCATCACCACAGACTGTGGATGTCCTGGTACACTGTCCACAGAACGTGTCAACTGCTGAAGTGGGAGTTGCAACGTGAAGGGGTGACTGGCTGTTCTATCCCAGTGGCTGTCAAGGTGATAGCTTTGTGCAACTGGCTGCTTCCAAGGATGCACTGGAGACCTGGGCGGGATCATACCACCCTCAACCCATAGCTGTTACCCATGTAATTTGTGCCAGATCACACCCATTGATTTGTTTCTCTATGATGAGGCCAGTACTGGCCAGGGTTAAGGAAAATCCCAAAGCCTTTTATTCATACATAAGGAGCAAGAGGGTAACTAGAGATAGGGTTGGCCCACTCAAGGACAAAGGAGAGAAGCTATGCGAGGAGTCAGAGAAAATGAGTGAGATTCTTAATGAGTACTTTGTGTCGGTATTCACCAAGGAGAGGGACATGACGGATGTTGAGGTTAGGGATAGATGTTTGATTACTCTAGGTCAAGTCAGCATAAGAAGGGGGAAGTGTTG